AAAGGACTTGTATCGCTGAAGTTTCTCGGAGATAATTTTTACGGGAAATTATCAAACGAGCAGATACGTAACAGTATTTTATGTCTGCTACAAGTTATAATAATAATTCTTTAAACTAATTTTTTTGCTCTTAATTTTAGTATTTCAGTATTTTACAAACTTTGTTGATGGCTGCATGTCTTTTAGGCTGCATTTCCATTTTGTTGTTATTATAAAAGTCTGATTGCCAGATCCCACTATTAAAAATGTAGGAAATGAAATAGTCAAACAGTTGGATATTTTCCAATGATTTGTTATGTAATTTTTCAAGTTTAATCATAAGTAAATTCAATTTGGAATCTACAAAAAGTTTTGTACTATGTTACTTTAGTCCTGTATTTTGTATATTAAAATTTTATATACCTAAGTATGGAAACAAAAGAAGCCTATAATTTCATTATAATGGAGCTTGCGATGTATATGTCCAAACTTGGAGACTACCGCACCAATCATAACTGGGCAATATTTTTATAACTGGGCAGTGTTTTTATAGCTGAGCAATAAATAAAACAATTGAAATTTCCAAAAAAAATGATATATTTCAGATGTAACCAATAAAAATCGTAAACAAAAATGATAAGTTTTAGACTTAACCAATAGAAACTACAAAAAAGGAGTAAGTTTCAAATATAAAACAATTAAAAACAAACTCAAACAAATTTTGTTTTTCTTTAGGGAAAATCTCATGATTGTTGCAACAGAAAGGCAAGGCACTTTTATTGATAACTGTGTCTACAAAGAAATACTTCAATAAAATATACTCTGTGATGATAGCTCATTTTTAAACTAAAATGTCAATAAAATCTTTTTTTTTTATGGATAGTGAACATTATTGAATGTCAAGTATGAGTACATTATTTCTGGAATTGTCAGACAAAATAAAACAAGTGTTTACAGTAAACATGTATAAGAACACAATGAAACTACCCATGCACATTTTGGAAAATTTTGAAGTTAATTTTCTTAATATGATATTTATGCTAAACTCCTATTTTCTTTATTAAAAAATAAGTTTTAATTTAAAACTTTTACTTATAGGGGGTAAAATGTCCAGTTTACATTCTTCAACTTCACAAAAGAGTGGAAAGTCACCAGAAGAAAACATTGAAACTGATCCTTACTCTGGGATTCGTATTATGTAAGTTGAATAACTTTTTATTGCTTTGTTTAGTAGTTAAGATGAAGAGCTTACTTTAACAGTATATGAATTTGTCAAATTTTTACTTCTAAATAAATCAAATTTTCTCTACATGGCTCATTTGTTCATTACTCACAATGATTACATTTTCTCTGCCATGCATGATAGTCTGTTATTAAAAATTATCTTAAGTTATGGAGTGTAATGTTTAGGACAACCAAACTTAATCTTCTAGAACATTTTCTAGGCCATTTTTATATATTTAAATCTTTGAGAATGTGAGATTAATGATAAAGTCATAATCAGAGGTAGCTAAATGTCTCTGACTTTTAGGAGCTGTCATTAAGATTCTAGTAGCCAGTGTGGTGTTCACAGATGGGACTGACTTGCAGACAAATTATTTATCTATTATGACAAGAGTTCACACACTAAATGTACAAAGGTTTTAGTGAATGAGAAAGACTGTGATTTGTTGTTAGTGTATAAGTAATGCAGCTGTACACATTTTGAACAAGCAGAACCTTTATTTAAAAAATAAAAAGGAAATTGGTGTGGTACCCACTGTGGATTTTTAGACAATCCTTTCTCCTTTAGCTGATGTTCAGTCTTGTTGCCTTCTTTCAAGATTGATTGCTTCAACACTAACACAAAGATTTTACTTAAAAAGAGCAAATCTTTCCTGTTGTTCAACTAATAGAGAACTGAACTAAAAAAATGTGCTCGAATCTAGATTGCAAGCTTGATTTTTTTGTCCAGTGAATGGCATCATCTCCTGATCTCTTGCCTGGCAGTATTAGTTGACTGTTACCTTCAGTTAATGTCATAATTGGCCAGCAAAGGATATTTCAGTTCTCAAACTGGATGCTTTTTATATCATTGTATGTAGAAGAGACATCACCTACTAAAGAAAAAAAAGCAATATTAGCGACTCTGAACCACGTGTTGCCACCATGACAGTAAACTAGGTAATCTAAAATTTTGAAGATTTCTACATCACTATACTATAGAAGGTAGAAACCTATAATATACCCACATATCATACCAGTATAATAACTTAACTACTATGGGGCAAGAGTGTTCCTTGCTTTGCCCCAGGAAAATTTATGACCTAATTTTTATTTTTGTTCAAGTAAACAATTTTAGATAAATACAAAATACTCACATCACTTTTTTGTGAAATTTAATGTTTAAATGCTTTGAAGATGAACCATTCTCACAATCTTTTCCATTCCACATAGAATTATCTAAGGCCCATAGAAGCTTTCATGTTAAACATCTCAGCCTTGATTCACAACTGAGAGTCTAATTACCAGTATCTGTATTTATTGGCTGATGGTCAGTTATTGGAAATCTAAAATTCTTTGGAGAATTACATGAATTTCGACTTCCTATACAGTTTTTCATATTAATTTGAAACTCAAATGCTTTACCAATCTTTTCTCTGATGCTCAGTTATATTACAGATAGTAATTACTGTATATAAGGAGAATGCTAATTTTTTTTAATGAAAAATTTACTAAAATCACTAGATTTGGTATTCCTAATCTCAATATTATTTTTTTTTTGTAAATCACAGGTTTTGTGAAATGCAACTACTATTAAGTAACAGATGAAATTATTTATTTTTTCTCAAACACATAGTATTGGAAATCTTATGCAAAACTGAATAATGTGCATATATCATAGGATTGCTGCTCTGTATTGTACAGAGATAAACTGAACCAGAATACAATCAGTGTTAATAACTTACTCTGTGATTTGCTATCATTGAACCTATCAGAAAGTGCCACACCAGCATGATGTCTTTTTTTAAGTATAGGCAATCATGTGTTCCTTGTAGTAGTGTGGGGATGGCACTCGTGGCTTTTAAGACAGAAATATCACCTGACTAAAATTTAGAAATCAAAGTTTTGACTGGTAAAGGCTACTCCATGTGACAGAATGAGACAGAATTTCATATTGTAACAAAAGTTGTGTGGTAACTGAAGAGAGTGCATGAAACTAGTAAGTACTGTTGGTAATAGAAGTGGTTGAGGTAGAAAACTCAAACTTGTCAAAAGAAATGTTAAATAACTCAAGACATGCTCTTTACATGATGTTTGAAAATCCAGTAGAGATCTTGCCAGTGATCTAGCTTTAAGTATAAGTGTGAATGCTGCATTCAGAACAGGAATATATACATTAATGCAATGTGGCCTCAGTGGATTTATAGCTGCTTCAAATCTACTGTTTGGGGAAGTAATCAAACCAAAATGCTGAAAGGAGCATCAGACTTCAAACAATAGGATGAGCAAAGCTGTTTTTCTTTTTTCAAGAGAATCTAAATAGTTTGACATGAATCAACATTAAGTTATTCCGTTGCAAAGAAGAGAATTATATCGCATTCAGCTTACAACATCATTAAAGCATGCTGGAGGCCCAGTACGAATGTGGGCTGCATTTCAGTCAGCTGTGTGGGAAATGTATCAATTCTTCTAACAAAACTGTAATTCCAAATATATATAGTGAATTTGGTCAACCAATACCTGGAAGAAAAATGCCTTGATAAAATACTTCTAACTATGGCTAGGCCTGCACAAAGTCCCAGATTGAACATTATTAAGGCTATATGAGCTTATTGAAACTGAATTTTAGGGAGTAATAGAGGACATTTGGAACAGTGCTTTGCAATCATACATTGATAATCTTATGTTAGCAGATAAAAACATGGTGAACTGATCTGTTTAAAGCAAATAAAATACTAATACTTAGTACAACTTTTTGCTTTTTTAGTAATATTGTATTGTACTGATGATAAATGAGCATTTACATGCAATTAGTCATTGTTTGTAATACGTATGAATGTACCTTCTGTGTTTTTCCATAATTATTTGGAATATTGTTTTTCTACTGGCTGGCCATTTTATTAGAGACCCCTTCCACAAACACACATTGGTAGAATACTCCAGTTATTTCCATTTATCAAGTCATTTCAGTGTTTCAAACGTATAGATGTAGTCACACCATGGTTAATCTGTGACACAATGGATAGGAGCATAAATGTGGGTAATTGACAGCAGTTTTCTTGTCAAAGAGTCTCTTTTAGCAAATGTCCAGAGACATCTATTAACAGCATAAATGTGGGTAATTGACAGCAGTTTTCTTGTCAAAGAGTCTCTTTTACCAAATGTCCAGAGACATCTATTAACAGCATAAATGTGGGTAATTGACAGCAGTTTTCTTGTCAAAGAGTCTCTTTTACCAAATGTCCAGAGACATCTATTAACAGTTAGGGATCACTGGAAGATTAAAGAGAATGAGACTGCTGCTACAAAAAAAACTGATTACCAACTGCTGATAACAGATATCAGACCATGTTCCCATTAACTTCTTCCTTCAATGTTGGTCAGCATTTGACTACTCCAACTGTTTTATGTGAAAGACAATACCCAAATTGTCATAAAGTTTGAGAAATATCTTAGCTTGGATACAAACAGTAAAAAAAAAAAAAGAAGATGAAAATAACTTTTTAAAGTTTAAATATGTAGCAGTAACTTCTACACAAAAAAACAGTAGATACAGTTAAAATTTCATCAGTGAATGCCAAGTTTTTGTTTCATAATTCTCACAGCATTGAGGTGTACTTTTTACAAAGCAAACAGCTCATGTAGCAAACTAATATGAAGTTTCATGCTGATGCTATTCATTATTTGAGCCTGATGCTACAAATAGACTGGGGGTTAATGTGGATCAAAATTATTGTTCCATTTTTGATAGTAGTGAAACATGGAAAAACTTCCTTTGCCATTTTTGTTTACATTGATTGCGAGCATTACTAATACACATGGTTAGTTCTTTTTATTGGCTGTCTTAAAGTGTATGTTCACTCACTTCACCAATTGTTGTGGGAATCCTGACAAAAAACAATGAATTGTGAGAAATATTTTATTGCATTTAATTTATGTATCAGGAAAATAGCAACATACGATACAGATCCTCCTACAGATAATATTTTAAATGGAGAGACAGGCTTATAGTTATTAGAATTGGAGTTTTTAATTATGAAGTTTTGACTTTTTAAAGTGGCACTTGTAGATTCACCACTCAATATTTCCACCTTAAAAAAACTGCAAATGGAGATTATCATCCTTGATAACTTACACTAAAATATCATATTTCAGCACTCTTGCTGTTATCAGTAATAATTTGTCTAGTGAAATTTTATCAAAGTTCTGTATTTTTGTAGTTTGTTACTCATATAGTTAATCATTCCTTAGACAAAACCTCTTCAATGCTTCTGTGCTTTAAATTTATTTCTTTGGTTCCTTTAATTGGTACATTATAGATCTCCAATTTAATCTAAAGTAACCAGGTTACATTTATAGCATTTATGAGAGGTGAAATAATCTAATTTCTTTGCCATGAAATGCTTTACTGAAGTTAGCTTTCAACAAAATAAAAAATTATGCAGCTATTACTTTTGATGATACTAAAATGCACTTATAATAGAACCTTCTTATTGACTAGTCATACCACATTTAGTTTAATAATGCCTAAGTGAATATTTATTTGTAATTTTAGACAAATTTACATGTCAGAAGAAGGAAACTTATAAAAGATTAAACTTAACTTAAATCTCCTGAAACCTATAAGCTTTTGGATTTAATTTAATAATTATAAAATAACTACTTGGCCAATAAAGAATCTCCAAGAAGGAAAAGATAAACTCTATAGCAAAGTTGTGTCAGACATTAAGTAATGAATTTTGATTCGGGAAAAGACCCACAAAAATATAGACAGGAGTGAGATAAGGAAATTTGTCTGATAGAGAAGAAGAAACATTTCAGGATATTCACACTACACTTGGCACATAGCCAATATAGCTCAAAGAAGTAACATTAAAACTCATCTTATGGAAAATTAGAACTTAAGAAAACCTAGAATCTCTAAATGTTAAAAATATCTAAAAACCACTTGTCCTTTATACATGATCTGGATAAGAAAAGTTTTGATTATATGGTGTTTTGGCTTTCTGTGATTGGTTCAATCTTATGTAATCTTTCCAATTTGTTCATAAACATGCATTCTTGATATCTGTAATGATGAAACAAACAATCCTTTTTGTTGTAAAAACTAACCAACTCTGACAAAATGGGTGAATGTTGGGCAGTAAAACTCAGAAAAGAGAAATGTTCAAATAAAACATGTTCTAAACAATTTTGTTCTTGTCTTTAAGAGATTCTGAATAGTTGATAGGACTTAATGGTCACTTAGCTTTTTAATATTTTATTTATGCCATAGCTAATATCTAAGTGCCAAGATAGGTGATGTGATTAACATGAAATATGTGACAATACAAGACCTTTCTCAGA